TAAGTGAAAACGCCGTCACTTAATTTTGCTCACTTCTGCTGTTGCTGTTAGTGAACACACAATCCGTAAATATCTTCTTTGGATTTGGTTCTTCCGCTCAGAATATTCAGTAAAACTTTGTCTGGGAAAATCAAAAAGCCCTAGGGCCGAATCGTTTCCCAAATACCTTCAACATTAGCCGAGGCGGGCCGAAACCATTTCCCAAATGCACGTGCTAATGTTAAAGGGATATCTCGGCATGTGGTAACATGGTAACACATTTTAGGTCTACGGACTATTCGTGACGGAAGAGATATGAGAAATTGTGTAGATTTACGTCTTTTAAAACGGGAAACGAATAAACGTTGCGTGAAAGAATACAGCATGATGAATTGGACGGCACCAGCTGGTGCTTAAATTGGTTCGTCAGTCTCAGACTAGCAAAGCAGATTCCCGTCTTCAGTCTGGATCTACGAGTAAGATATGATTTCAAACTTGCTAAATAATCTCATAGAATCGGTGAACCCTTAGACTCAGTCTAACATCCAGGTTTCACTTTCTACGCAGACTGTATTTAAAAATCGCCCAACTTCATCCACACCCCAGTTCATGTCCTGCTGCCGACTTCCAACTCTGTCCTACCCCACTCACATCAGCATTAAACCTCCCGAATCTTGCAGATCGCCTGACAGATCGTCCTCTCTCAGTCGGCTCACTTCTCAATCTCACGTTGATTTTCTGTCTCTGGGTCACGTCTGCTCAACCACATTTCACAAAGTCCGTCTGCCGTCTCCGATTCTCCTCTTCCATTTCCGGGCGAGAGCTTAGCTCATGCGCCTAGCTCAACTTGACAGGGTGCAGCGTCAGCAAGGTGTTGAGTTTTCAATGTTCACACAGACCGGACAGCGAGAGCGATGGAAAGAGAGGCAGGGTGGAGATGGGAGGAGAGGTAGAAAGAGATGGATGGAGTATGGAAGAGGGAAGCGAGAGAGAGAGAGAGAGAGAGAGAGAGAGAGAGAGAGAGAGAGAGAGAGAGAGAGAGAGAGAGAGAGAGAGAGAGAGAGAGAGAGAGAGAGAGAGAGAGAGAGAGAGAGATTGAGAGAGAATGGAAAAGAGAGACGGGTGGATAAATTGACAGACAGGCAGACAAACAAACAAACAAACAAACAAACAAACAAACAAACAAACAAACAAACAGACAGACAAACAGATCAACCAACAAATGAACCAACCAAAAGACAGAAAAGAAAACAAACAGGTAGAAAATAGGCGCACAGACAGACCACAACGTAAGCAGACAGACAGACAGACAGACAGACAATCAGACACAGACGCACAGGCACACAGACAGATCCATACACGTCAACACACAAACATACGACCCAGTCCGGATAGTCGGATAGAATTTCAGCATCTCTTATTAGCGCGTGTGACCTGCTGACAGCGGCGGCTGTGGCGGGGGGATGAGAGGCTCTGCGTCTCTCGGCAAACAGACCAAACGGCTCCGTTCGCACGGCTGCCGACGGCCCGGCGCCGGGACCGTCTCCGGCGACAGCATATATTATGCAGATGTCGGCGCCTGCAGGCTGCCACGCTGATGCATTCATCCAGTGACGAAGTGCTTCGCGGTGGAGACGGCAGAGCTGAGTTTGTGCGGCGTGGAGCCACGCGTGATCACGGTACTAGAAAGCAATGCATATGTATGTTGATTTCAAAACTGTTTGTCAGTCTTTCTACTTGTTCATCGTCCGAGATTATTCTTCCATTGCCTAAGGTCCCTAAGGAAATCATTTAGTAAGTGTTCCTAGTAAGATTGTCACCAGCGTGTTGCGGATAGTGGGAATGAATGTCGCAGCCATAAAACTTGATGCGCGCAGTGGTACAAAACGATCAACTAAAAATGGCCTCCGATCAGTAAACGACCTCCGCCTGAGGTCAAACTTTTGAGTTGATATTTCAGAAAAAAAAATGTGGAACATTCGGCACGTCTGAAAACATGAGTACATTTCACACAAGTAATATAAATGACGAGTTTTCGTACCGAATAAAAGTTCGGCAAAAATGTGCACTGCGCATTCATTATGACGCTTTTCAATCTGCACGCCACTTGACCTTAGGACAAATCGACAACACTGAATAGCCGTTTTCACGACGGCCATCTGGTACACATTTGGTGCACATCTGGTACAGATTAGGTGCAGATTTGGTCAAATCAGGTTCAGTGTGTCTCTTAGCAGCTATCAGCTAGAGTTGCACTAATTGCTTATACGCTTGCTTTGTCATATTATCAGAGAGCATCATCGATTAAAACACTGAAATAAATTCACAAATGAAGATATTTGCTGTAAAGAAATTAGGTGCAGATTTGGTCAAATCAGGTGCATTCGCCGGATAGCCCGTCGTGAAAACGGCTAATATTCTGTGACTGAAATCATCGGATGGGGATTAAAAACGCTTCACCGCTGCCGCCTCAATGTGTTGTGTCATAACACAGTGTTATTATCGGACAACTGCCACAAGAGATGAGCGTGTAGCCACACAGCCTCCAGCACCCCCGACCTCTTCCCTTCATACGCTCTATGCAACCAGGAACGTCTCACGCTCTGCCACCGTTTATTTCCAAGGAAGATTCGACACCTGCCGACGAGATCCACCGCTCTCGGAACACGCTCGTCTCCGCTCGAGCGAGCCCTTCCCTCCGCTCCCCATCCCCTTTGACGCGTCGCCCGGACGCAGCGCGAGTGGCCTTCCTTGTCGACGGTCGAGCTGCTGGTTTATGCGCCGGAGCGGACCGAGAGAATCCCTCCCCTCTCCCTCCTCTCCTCCCACTGCGCTGCAGGAGACGGGGTGAGCGGGATATTGACGTGTGTTTAGTGCGTAGTGTGATGAGGACACAGCCAGGCATCAGATTGCAGCGCAATGCCGTGCATGTGTAGGGAATAATTAAAGCGTGGAAATGATTCAAATTATTATGGTGATTGAATGATGTGAAACGTTTTTTGAGCATGATTATGATTAAAATGGAAATCAGATGGAATAGTAAGCTTTTGTTCATTACTAAAGTAAGCTAAAAACAAATCCAAAATATATTTTCGGTGCTGGACCTTCTTCAGCGGAATGACATTCCGCTGAAGAAAGTCGGAACTTACTATTCCGTCTGATTTCCATTATTATGGTGGGCATGACAAAAGGCTTTGTGAAGGAGCATTAATGCAACCGTCGACAGACAATATTGAAGTGATTCATGTAATATTGTTTTGAGGTGTTGCAAGAATATTAAAATTTGGTCAAACGGGCATAAATTTCCTTCAACTCGATGAACTTCTTTGTAAAACATTAACGACGAAGGCGTGCTGAGTAAAAAAAAAAATGACGCTTTTCCAAACATGCTCGATCAAAGCCTTACCTATGCATCAGCCTACGAATAGCCCCACAATAAAAAATCTCAGCTACAAAGCTAGACTGATCAAATTCTGTCGAAAGCCATCAAGTTAAAACCAGACGGGAACAGTATGTTTAGAGGAGGGAGCAACGTTTTGCTGAAACAGCCCGTCGCCTGTAATCTGGCGTGTCACCTTGAATGCAGCCGATGGCAGCAAAACACACGTGCCAAATTATTTACAGGAACGCAATGTCATACACACAAGTAGAAAGGGTAGAAAGAGGTAAATCCAATTCCATTGCGCTAGTCGGAATATAAGGAGCTATGACGCTGCTGGGTTCTAACTTTAGGGTGAGGACGATGGCCGATTGCTCATCAAAAATGGTTGGACGTGTGCTAAAAGATGTGCATTTTGCAACTTGTCCATACTGAGTGCGAAACGGCACCCTGAAGTCAAGTTGGTTGGAAGGCTAACTATTTTAAACTACCTACATAAGCGAAAATAAGAACTCCTGTTCAGTTGACTAGCAGCGCGGCTGATAAAAAAAGAGGTGCGAATATTTCTTCTGACACGTATCACCACCAACCCACCAGAACCGTGCCTTCCTTTCACGCGCACCCGCAATCTCCTAGCATTGACCCGGTCACTGCGACACCAGCTGGTCGCTCACCAACTCTCGGCACGTCCCCTCGTATCAGTGCGGCGCTGACCACGGCACCTTCCATCCCCCCCCCCACCGCCCCGCCTCAAAATCACAGCCGGTCCGAGCCGCCGCCGCCGCCTGCTCCGACGGCCGTCATCAGCCGACCGCCTTGGGTGCGAACGACACGCCGACCACCGACCGACGACCGGTCCGACCGCAGCGGTCGGCCGACGGTCGGCGATGACGACCAGTATTGCCCACTTCCACACCGACGAGACGGCGAGCGACTCGAGCGGCCACCGTCGCCGCCGACGGCGAGATGCGATGACGAGGAACGAATAGCAATGTTACGCTCTCTGGCTCGCATTTTCAGCATCATTACAATCCGAGATGATGTGCAAAACAAGTCGTTAAACAAAGGAAATAAACACAGCTTCGCTGTATGTATTTTTGATGGGACTGAATGGAGGTCATATTAAAGATTTTTGTTTTAATTTTAGCATATTGCCGCCGCTACCGGTCGGTCCAAATCATGCCTAATGACTCGCCCGGAGAGCGGCTATGATTTACGGCAGCCGTTTCAGCGCCGGGGCGTCACTGCAGGTGCCGTCCACAGTATACCGGCTGACGAATTCCTCCACAGTTCCACCGCGGATTAACGGCGCCCCTTTGTAATGCCAGTTAATTTAGGGTCGTTAAAAACACACTTGCCGGCGCCGCTCCGGAGGGACGACCGCCAGTCACGGCCGGGCCGGCCCGTCGGCCGCCGGCCCGCGCTCGCCCGGTGCTCACCGCCAGACTGGCTGCTTTATGGAGCCCGAAAATGGAATTCCGTGTGCGAATTGCCTTGGTTTCTGCAAAATATGCGCCACGCACTAGAGGTTGGAAGTGGAAATGGTGCCAAAGTTCCACAATATCTTTGCTGGTTGGATACGGATATGATTGCGCTTTGGATTATTGCTACACGGGTTATTGTTCCTTGTCTACATTCCAATAAAGGCAGTAGCCTCACCGTTTATTAGCAATGTTTTACACAATGAAAACCATAATATAACGCCAGGATGCTCCAAAGACAATCATTCGTGTAGTAGCCAAGAGATATCTTATAGCGATAACTGATGGACGTCATGTAGCAAAATTAGCGCGCAGAGCACTTACATTTCCACCCATCGCATGTGAAGTACTTACATATGGATTCGTACACACACTTCGGTCAAGAGAATCTAAGCTGAGTCCAGTCTGCATTCAATTAAACGAATCGTCAATGGCTTGTAATACATTTACTAGCATTATGGCTTCATTAGGGCTAATGTGCTGGACAAACGAAGATTGCCTCTTACATTCTCTTAGCTATGGATGGTTACAAGGCATTGAATCAGTCACATTGATCACGATCAAGCATGCTTTGAACATCTATCTACCATTTCACCCTTTCAAAACATTCGGAGAAAACATTCAGCAGCGCAAAGATCCAATCGTTCATCTATGTACCTCCGACCTGGTTGGTGCCTTTATCGTTCGTTTCGATGCACAACTGTGCTGAACTCCGAATCGCTCGCTGGAGCTTACGAATAATCAGTGGCCCACATACACTACGGCAGGTTATGGCGACCAATGTCTGTCAGTCCGAGCATTAGGTGAATCTTGACAGAACAGGCTACCAGATCACAGCTGGAAACGACACACAGACGAGCGTGTCTGTCTGTCTGTCTGCCTTCTGTGTCTACCTCTCTGTTTGCCCGTCTGTGTGTCTGATGTCTGTCTGTCTATGTCGTCTGTTTGCATACGTCTGTCGGTATCTTTATTCTGTCTGTAGGCGTGCCTGTCTGTCTACTTAGCTATCTGACTGAGTCGCTCTGGCTGCCTATTTGTCTGTCTATCTCAATCTCTCCAACCAGTATACAGAACCAACTACAGTACAAGAATAGCACCTCTAACTTGACCAACGGCCTCATGGAGTCACATCGTCGCTCGGCGACGCAGGATTCTCGTCCGCCAGAGTGCAGCGCGCGTCGGAGTGATCACAGCTGTTTGTTGCTCCTCTCTCAGAAGCGGGGCCTGATCAGACAGGAGCTGTCTGAAGGTGAGCTGAGGCGGCTTCTTACACGTTTGATGAACCACTCACTCTCACGCACCGTTTCCTTCAGAACCTGAAAATAGAGTGCTTTTGAAGTTTCCTTTTCGTAAGACCTTCAGTTAATTTTATGCGGTAGATGATTATCAACGCTACCTAGATCGAAACTCTTAAGCCTCTTCAAATAAGACATTTGAATTTCCTTCCTTTCTGTCATGGGTCAGGAGACCACATCAAGGTGACGTCGCACAACTAACAGCCGACGGGCCGAAACCTCATAACGATCACGTCACAGTTTCCAAGTTTTATAATATAATTACGGCGGCCGTAAATGGACGGCCGGCCGGCCGCGCCGGTATACGTCGCCCACGCCGCGCCCGGCTCTAATTAATTTGTCCCGCTCCTCACGCCGGCTTCTGTCCGGCTCAAATTGTAATGAGCTCATCAGCGGGGAACAGGCACCGCCATCAGCCTCGGCGTCCGCCCGCGACACCACTGTGCGGCCACTCATGGCCGGATGGACGGGGGTGGGGCGGGAGACCGTGATCGGGGTCCACACACTCCTCTCATTCTCCTCTCTCCTTTCTCCCCCCTCTCTCTCCCTCTCTCTCCCTCTCCTCTGCCACCCTTGCTCTCTCTGTATTTTCTTTCATTATATTTCTTCAAATCCTTGTGAAGTGCACGTTCAGCTAAAAATAGCTTAAATCATTTTAATCAAATCACATTTTGTAAGTAACCATTTCATTACTTTTATTCAAACTAAACCTCAGAGTACTGTGCGCTGCATATGGTTTTGCATAATGCATGAAACAATTGCTATTCCTCGTCTGTCATACCTGCAATCAAGGCTGGGACAAGAAGAAAGGTGATGACGTACAGAAGTTGCAATACCGGGTGCAGTCGCCTCCGCGGGGACGAGCTACCAAAGCTTCGAGACTCCAACGCTGTCGACAAAGCACAAAATATAAGTGTCCGGCAATAAGCAGTGTCTGTCTTATGTTCTGTTTTTATTTTGTTTATTAACATGTCACGTATATAAACACTTTTCCCTTGGTGTTGCATCTGAGTATCGCCCATCACCGTCCCTTCTGGCCTGCGAAGCTGCCCCAGCTCGGCGGCGCTGCAGCGCGCTACTAAACCACGTCATCAGCGACAGGTCCACTTAGCGTCCGGCGCCCGGAGCTCGGAGGAAAGTTGACGCATTGAGCGCCGGCCCGGGCAGCTGAGTCCCGCCCGAACCCCGCCGGCTGGGCGGGGACGGCAGGGAAGGGGAGGGAGAGGTGCATCGGCGCAGCTGCCGACACCTGATGGCGTGTCCGACACCCACGGAGATCAGACGGCGCCGCCGGCGCCGCGGAGATTTATCTGCTGCCGGCGAGCCAATAATATCGGGCCGGCTGCAATCAGAACGATCGGCCGCGAGCCGCTGGAGCCGGGTCACCGGCGTGCGCCGCTAAACTTTGCCACCTAGGAGCCGCCGAATTGCGACGATCGGCGGCTCGGCGGCTCGGCGGCTCGGCGGCTCGGCGGCTCGGCGACGCGGCGGTGGTGGTGGCGTGTGGCGGTCACCTTAGTGCCCGGGCGTGTCGGCGCGTCGCTCGGCTCCGATCGGGCCGGACGGCGCCGTCGACAGTCGCCCGTTACAATTAGCCGCCGCCCGGGGATTATACGGGCGGCCGTATCGACACGGCCCACTCACTACGAGCGGTCGGCACGCGGCGGCGGCCGTTTGAGCCGGTTAGGACGGCGGCTATTCGTCACGGAGAGGCCGCAGACCGGCCGGTAGGGTGGGGCGGCGGGCGAACCACAGAGCAGAGAGAGCCGCCGAACGGAGCGGAACGGCAGAGAGAGGGAGGGAGGCCCGCGCTGAGCGCGGAACGATGAGTGCGATGCAGGGTAATATTAGACGTGCTTCTGGTCCGCAATATGCCGCTGAAATGGGTTTATAAATGGTGGTCCCCGTAATGTATAACAGGTTATTGTGGGTTACTGGTTGGTAATACATCACAGGTATGCATGACCGTTGAAACTTAGGGCTGATTGCTGTGCAGGTGCAGCTAGAAATGGCAGGGCAGACATGAAATAAATGTTTAATGTCGTAATGATAAAGAAGAACGTCTGGACGTTTGGGGCACCTACCAAATGACTTAATATCAGACCTGGAGCACCAAAATAATATCAAGTAATAATTTATCGGGAAAAAATATATTACAAAACAAAAGCACTAGCCATACATCATCAAAACCATCCCTCTCTGGCATTACCATCAAGCAATGGCTCTCTCACCCTCTCCCCTGGCGAGAGTGGAGAAGTGAAACAGGTCGGAGACGGCGCTCCAGCCGTGCCGGTTGCGCGCCTGCACGTGCAGCTCGTAGGTGGTGGCCGGTCGCAGTTTGGTGAGTGGGATCTGCTGTCTGTACAGAGTGTCTCCGACCACCTCACTGCCGGTCGGCGGCACGAGCACCTCGCGCCAGCTGGCTGACCGATTCTCGGTAGATGAGTTCATCCTCTGTAAACGAGCGGTCCTCAGTGTCAACGGTAACAGCACAAACAGCTGGCCTAACGAGCTAATTGATACATGAAGGAACAACCAACGGTAATTAACCAGTGTCATCTTGTTATTAATTCCTGGTATAGCTTGGTAAATTATATCACAGTATATGAGCTATGAGGTCTTGTTTATGCTCCACGAATACGTAAGACATCAATAAATCAAAAACACTGCAGGCTCCAACGTGCGATACATTTGGAAGTGCAGCTGGCGTGAAATAGTAAAATAACAGCAAAGCCCGCGATAGAACAATGCAATCGTTAGGATTGTTCAGTACACTCTACACTCTACAGTCGGTCAAAAGTGCAGTAAATTGCCAGTACAAAGGTGGCTAGTCGTCAGAATCCACTTCCATTCGCGTAAATGTCGCGAGGATTCCATTCCCTGAATGAGGCGATAGCGATGACAATGAGGTGATTCGTGATGGTCAGATCGGTTGCCGAGTTCAGCTTGTGTGCATTCTTTTCTTAATTGGCCGAGCTCAAGTGTGTGCTTTAGGCACATGAAAAATACACAAGTGGCAAATGCGTCAGTTTGCTAAACAATTCACAGAAATGTGTACTACGAGAGACACAGCACAACTTTCTGCTTCATCCTTCGCCAAAGCCGCGCGCTCCGGTGTCGATGCCTTGCGGTACAGTATCTGTCCAGGCGCTGACCGTCAGAGACATCTAGCGGTAGGTTTATAAGTAAGCCACCCGGCAGGCGGCACTCGCTTGTGAATCACGCTAATGGTTTAGTATTTCCTATGTTGCTTTGTGGACATCCGGTGAAATATTAGTCACTTGGAGAGTTACTGACGTGGAAAGTAAGGAAAAGCGACAATGCATCAGTTATCATCACATGTCCCACCGAATGAAACATCGAAACTGAGGAACAGATGAAGGCAAAAGGTGCGTCCGCTTGTAAGCCTCCTGTTTTTCAGTTGGCTTCAGCTGGCCATATTCTTTTACACATTACGTTTAGCTCTCAAGTGATTGAATACCGATGAACTGGGCAAGTTCATAATTCGGTGAACCTCTATAATGACATACCACTCCCATCATCGAAGCTTAGCAGTCACTTGTGTGACTTGTGAGTGATTACCATGCACAATTATTTGGACTTGATTAAAACGTGTGCCTTGCAATCAAAGATCAGCATCCTGTGTTTGACATAGCTATTTGAATCGGTACAGCATCCGCCCCACCACATTACTCTTTGATGTTGCTGATGAAAAATCCAGCATAAATATTAAACACATTTAGCACCTCTTTGAAACTTAAATGTAGGCGTCACTATGCAAACTTCAAGTCCGTTTCCATTTACATGCCATTATCAATAATGCTTAACGCTCTCGCAGTATTTGAGTGCTTAGTGAGAAATCATTTGCACTATAAAGAAATACATGCTGACGTAGGTAAAACGTGTTCAGGAGGATTTATACATCCAATTTTAGAATAAGCATGCACTGAACATTTCACAGCCATGTTAGGCGAATAATATCCCAAACCATAGACCTCTGGTGACCTCTGGTGTACAGAGGTCTATGCCCAAACATTTCCATAATTTGTTTTGCATCGTTTTAGCAAATCGACCTCCTTCTGCGCATTGTGCCGGACAGGACATCGTATTACACTCACAACCACTGGATAGCGGTGCCACCCTTCTAAAGTTAGACCTAATCATACCATTACGGTCGTATCCATTCCTGGAAGCGGCCGCCGGTGCCGGCCGGACCCCTGACCGGAGATTTGGCGCCGCTATCGGCGCTGCACCGGTGACCCCGGACCCGGCCGGAGGCGGCGGCCGACGTCCAACAGCGGAGGTCAGATAACCCGAGCCGTCCCTTCATTAGGCGGCTCCGGAGAGGGACAGTAAGGCAACTGAGCACTGACCACTGACCACTGACCGCCGCGGGTAGCCCTCAACCTGCAACCACCCCCTGCAGACTACAGAGGGGTGGAAGCCGAAGGTCGGCTGACTGACCCCAACTCGCACCGTCTGGGGAGGGTTCGTCGGCCGAGTGACCGCTTCTGGCAGCGGAAGGCGGCGGTTCGGCGGTCCAGGAGCAAAGGTCAGGACGAGATAGCAGGCGGTCACATTTATCCCTCCACAGCTTCAGGTTAAGCCAGTGGCATCTGCCCCTGGGTGAGCCGAATCCGGCGAAACGGTCGAATGGGACACGTGGCAGAGAGCTGCTCTGTCCCAGCGGTGCAGGCTAAGCTGCAGTGTTCGATAGATTGGAAGTTCAATCGAAGGAAGGAGGTGCTCAGATACACTGTTTCAACACGAGTCTGTCAGTAGTGCATCATTATTCTACATATACATTAGGCAACCTGAGTCTCATGAAAAGAAATCGCGTGCAAACACAAAAATGAATTGTTTGTGTATGCAGAAATACGTAATTGCGATGGATGCAAGAGTATCACAGCCAGTCTACAAAAATGTGAAAAGTGCACTGATTTTATCTACTGGTTTGACTTTAATAGACCATCTCTCCCACCTTTCCGAGTCCGTAGGCGACTTTGTACTCTAGCACTGGTGAGTAGCTGCGGACCTCCCAGGACAGCTGGTAAGAGTCCGGTGCCGTGCCGATGGGTCTGCTTGTAATGTGAGCCTGGCCGGGCGCACCTGCCGACAAAAACACTGCTGGTTATACATAGCCATCAGATATCTGACAAACACGTATCTGCCAAACACGATGTGAGCAAATTGACACATGCAAGTATCCGGCACTGATAAAGAAAAGATGTTTGCTTGATAAGACAAGCTTAGTGATTCGCCATTAATTCATAGAGAAAAATCGATTGACACTACGAGGCACAAGCCGTTGCATTTAGCCAGTTGACCGAGATTACAGAGGCGAATTTAGCTAGCATTGGTATAGCCTTAGTGACACCCAAATATGATCAAAATCGTGATAATGTCACTAAACTAACTTTCCGCCCACAGTAACCTAGAGAAGCGTTACCCTTTCATCGCCGTGTGGCTGATACTGATAGATCCCACACGCCACCGGCGCCACGCGACATTTACTTACATGGGAGGCGATGTCATTGAATTTCAAATGACAAAACTTTGAACCATCAAGCATCAAGGCATAAATCTTCTCACCTGAAAGCACCACCCTGCCGCTGGCGGTTCCCAGAAAGTTGTTGGCCTGGCACGAGTAGGTGCCGAAGTCAGCCATCTGGACGGGCCCGATGGTGAGCACGTGCCGCGTGCCGCCCAAAACCTCCTCGGATGGGACGTGGCGGCTCGGCTGCAGCGCTCCCTCGTTGCGCGACCAGCGGACCTACCAGGATAGATCGGTGAGCTACCGACTGTCGTGTTTCACGTCACATTACACACCGGCCAAATAGCGCGCGATTAGCCTCGCAAATGAAGCGTGCCGATGCGCGTCACGGAGCGACGGCTGCCGATCGGCACAAATGCACTGCGACAGGGCCGGTGGACTATCAGAGCGACGACAACATGCTGTTATGGGTCGTAATGGGTACATGTTTGATCGAGCGAGCACCAGCAGCTATTTATTGCGTGTACAGACAGCATTAGAGCCAAGGCGTCGCACCATCAGCGAGCATTACACGCATCCGTTTGCAGTTCTGTGGGAGTTTGGATGTATATTCATTACAGCGTTTAGCGTCAACCTATTTTTACGAGTTCCCTAACAGAGCGAGTATCCTGTTCCCCGTTTATTCTATTTTACTGAGTAAATATTTGATCGGAGTTTTCTAAGACGTCTGCTGGTCATTACCTACTATGATAATGGACTGCAATAGTCGAAAGTGTAAGGATCACGCTTATTTTCCAACTCCACTCAAGACGCGCAAATATTGAAAGGCGCCTATTGTCGCTCATTGCAACCTTACCGTCGCCGGAGGATCAGCAAAGACAAAGCAGATTAGCTTGGCCTTGAATCCTTCGCCCGAGTAGACCACGCTCTTTTCTACCTCCACCTCCGGCGGATCTGACCAAGGACGAGCAGTGATCAGTCAGAAATCGCAGCACCAGCAACGGACCAGCGAATCGCACCTTAGATTCAAGATATTTGATTCAAGATATTTATATTTGATTCAAGATATTTATATTTGATTCAAGATATTTGATATTTGATTGATTTTTAGATTCAAGACATTCCTGAGTATCAACTGGAAGGTATTGGTGAAACGAACACATGAAAATCCGACAGATATAGAAAAAAGAGCCAGCGAAAAACAAAGGGAATGACAAAGCAAAAAGAAAACTCACAACGGGCACTTACAATGTATACCCTACATGATAAGATGAAATACATTGGATGCTTTCACTGGTATCTTGCAACAATATAAAATGCTAGCGACAGAACTTGCACTGGGCTTGTACACCTACAGCAGAGCATAAAATCGCGACAACGCATAATACATATAAAACGATCAACGAGGACTCGCTACAGGAACTCACACTGAACTTGAAGGCTGACGGTGCCAACCTCCGGCCTTCCGAGACCGTTTTGAGCGACACACTCGTACACCCCGGCCATTTCTCGGGTGACCTCGGAGATTGTGTAGCTGCTGCCCGCGTGTTGGGCCTCGCCAGAGGGCAACAGGCCCATCTGACGAAATAAACCAAAGCGAACCGTCAAACGAGGCAAAAAGTTGGATTGCAAGGATTCAGTTTCAATTTTTACTTCGAAATATTTTCATCAAAGGTGTAGCAACGTATCTCTTTGGTGAAGGACACCTTTCACCAAAGTTTCAGATTGGTGAAGGATCCTTCACCAATCTTGGACAATGCAAGGGAGGGTCTTCACCTACCTATGCTTAGAACTACTGGATTCGACGGTTGATCAAATGTCTGTTTTTTAACCCGCGCCCGGCTGGGGGTCCTGAATTTCCACGCCCTGCTGGGGGGGGGGGGTTTGAACACCCCCCCCCCCCTTCTAACTCGGCTCCTGGGCCACGTAGCGATACGCGGAAGGCGGCGTTCGAAAGAGCGCCAAAAATAATGACGAAATCACTTCGGTCGCTTTTTTGGTCAGGTCAAAGGTCAGGTCACCAGAGGTCATTGAAGGCAAAATTTCGCCGATTTCCAGGTCGAATGTCGACAATTTCCAAGAAGTCAACGCATAGCTCGGGAACCAATAGAGCTACAGCGCCACGGAAAAGCGCATTCGATAGCCCTATAACGCCCTTTCTGAGGAATTCTCTCAGATTTGACCTAACGTCAACGGTTTTGCCTGCAGGGGGCAAAAACTGCCAAAAAAGACGATTTTTCGGGAACAGTTTTTCTGCAATAACTTTTGACTCAAGCCTTGCACGAGCTTTCTTTTACCGACATCGTGTTCCTCTTGTCAAGGCGCATCGAATAAACTATAATTTGACATTGAAAGTTCAACTTAAAAATTTGACCTCTGGTCAAGGTCATGATTTGACCGGACATTGTCATGTTGCATATTAGTGGATCTGTATCGTCGAGCTGAACATATATATATATATATATATATATATATATATATATATATATATATATATATATATATATATATATATATATATATATATATATATATATATATATATATATATATATATATATATATATATATATATATATATATATATATATATATATATATATATATATATATATATATATATATATATATATATATATATATATATATATATATATATATATATATATATATATATATATATATATATATATATATATATATATATATATATATATATATATATATATATATATAGGGTGAAGTCGTATAAGAGTACGCACTTAGTGGATTTCTTGCTCTCATTTGTTTAATATTTGAAAGAAAGAAATCGCAAATAGTGAATATTAAAGTTCATTGAATTAGCCATCAACCCATGGGGCAACGATCCTTCAGCGTAAATGGAAGTGGTCTAAAACTGACATTTTCTGAACCGCTGCAGTTGCGTACTCTTACCATATGGGGTGTGTAAGAGTACGCACGCCAGGCGGGTGGAGTACGCAAGCATATGAACACACACCTATGCAGCTTGCACTGTCCAAATGCTTAACTTCAAACTCAGAAGGCATTTAATTTAATTCTATATCCAAAAAGAAAAACATAAAATAAATCTTTCAAGTCTATAAATCAGGAAATAATCATGTCGTGTGTTTCTTTTTAAGAAATGCACAATCAAAAGGGAGAATAACTCGTATTTGGAAGAATTTCGGGTACGCATCTGCATCACAGTGCTCCATTGATGATATACCTACAAAACAAACGTCATTGAGCGATAGATTAATAATTTTATTTTTCTGTATATTCGATTTAATGTATAATTCTGCGTACTCTTACCCTCCTGAACAGTGCGTCCTCTTACCGTACATGCAATTCGCGCACAAAACAACCCCGAAACGTTGTGCAAAACTTCGCAAACAGAATATTGCACTGCACAGTATGTCCCCAGATAACCTCGCAAGTTTCCCACACCAATCACGGAAATGTACCTTATCTCAACTGCCAAGTATCAAAATTATTGTACCATACCATAATAATATCATAACGCTCGAAAATAATATTCATCGCCTTAAACTCAACAGCGTCGCCGCTCAACGCCCACGTTCCGTTGGTGACAAGCACGCACTGGCGGCTTCATGTCAATTCATGAACTCGACAAACCCGCGTTGCTAAGCAACCGAAACAGCTGATGCGTACTCTTATCGCCCGCGTACTCTTACCCGCCCTTACCCTATATATAAGGCGTTTTCATCGCTCTAGCATGCCTCTCAAAAGTTAGTCGCAAAAAAACTGTTAGATACCATTCGTGACCTGAGATGACCTTAGGGGCATAAACAGGGGTCACGGGTGCCGTTTTCATGTTCAGTGTGTCAAAGTTACTTGTAATTTAGTGTTTGAGAGTGTTTAGAATGACTTTCGTCCGAAAAAGACGGTTTTGAATTTTCTCCCATTGACTTATAATACCTAGAGAGGTCGCAAAATTGACCCGACCTTAGGTCACCGATATGAAAATTACCGAATTTTGTACATACTGTTGCACTTATCAATTGCTGAAAGCTTCAAAGCGATCCGTCACTTGGTGTAGCCATGGCATACATTGAAACATTTTATGATGTGTTTATGAGGTGAGGTCACATGTAGCGACCTGGTGACCTGACCTTGAAGGACCCTGGTCTGAAATTTTCACAAAATGTATAAAATTGATAGATGATAAGGTGCCGCCGTTTTTCAGATATCCACGAAAAACCGCAGGGGGGGTGTTCAAAAACCTCCCCCCCCCCCCTCCCAGCAGGGCGCGGGTTAACACACTTTGACCATTTGCCCCAGTAGTCAAAATTCCTTAGCCGAGGCCCTGATTTACATCTTGCTGTCATGGCAAAATGCACAATTCAATTTTAGGCAGGCATTGAAAATTTGACGTTAATGGGATGATAAGGGCGTAAGATATCTGCGAAAAACAAGGGGTTGGCGAAATTCGCCCCCCCCCCCCGCTTGCACTGTGCGTGTTGGTTGGCACGGTCCTGTCCCTTTTCATAAGGTTCAGGTGGCATCCTTCACCAATATTTTTGGCGCTCCTACACCCATGATTTTCATTGCCTTCAACCTGGCCTCAGAGATTACCGGTTGATAAAAATTTTCAGAATCAGGATATGCGCATAACTTGATGCATGCTATTTCAGTGCCGCAAATGAAGATCAAATTAAAATGAGGAGGGACGCCAAAGGAGACCACGTCAGCCCCATCTGCCCCTTGTTACGTCAAGAAGAGTGAAATAGCAAAGTTGGCGGTTAAGAACAATGCAGAAATGACTGGCTGGAATTGAGGCACATTTCTCGCAAGGCAGCCTGCGCCATAATGAACATTTCAAATTAAAACGCCGGCTTAGCGCGGCTACTTTGGGATGAGCCGGATGAGCTGTATTGTTTTAGTACGGTTTTACGGTATGACGTTAACGACCTTGTGTCTAGGAGAACGCCCATCATTCTCAACCTTGGAAATGCAGCCAGTCTTCTGAGTTTTCCGAGCGACTGACATTTGACGGCGGTTGAGGTAGCAAGCTCAAAGGACGAAGGTTATGAAATGTTATCATATAGAGCAAAGACGTGCGCTGCACCCGTCTCTTTTTGCGATGTGCACTCTATTTGCATATTCACCCACTCATATTATGCATATCATGTGTCTATCAATAGCTACAATTAATTGCGTAAAGGCCGTGTTACACTGTCGAATTTTGGCCACGACCCTGTCGCCGAATCACGTCGTGTAGGAAATCGGCGAACAGTTTACCGACAGAGGCGAACAGTTCGCCGACAGAGCCCGATTTGCAGAAAACGGGTGGGGGGCCCCCCTAATCGTGCGCGGGTCGAAGCTGATCCATGATTCGGCGAACATCGCGAATGAATGGCGAATCTGTTGCGAATAGTCGGCGATACCTTGGCAACAAGTCGACGCACGCAGCGACATGTCGGCGGCGACTCGGCGACTGTTTGGCGATCATGTTCGTTTATTATAAATTCGGCGAACGGCCACGAAATTTTCATTTTTCATGAAATATTCGTGGCGGTCGTGACGAACCGTAAAAGTCGCGCGGTGGACACCGACTGGTCTGCGAAATGCCAAGACCGTGGAAGAAAGATCCCGAATCGGTCCGCGACATAGGATGACTTGCATATTCGTGCACATTCGTGTACCGAAATTCGGCAGTGTAACAAGGGCTTAAGAGGCGTTCGTCAGGCAAGTTTTACTCGGCAGGATAGCAACATCTCTTTTTAAAAGATGGCAAGAGTTCATTTTATTCAATTATGTCTTATGAATACCTCCTCATTTTTACATTTTTGGGTCCAGCAAAATCATTTATTCCCTCTGGACGTGATGAGCCGCATGACTCTAAAAAGCTACATAATCTCATTTTGACCAAATGGAGCAGCCCTGAAATCTGACCTGACCAAGCCAACTAACCTGTTTCCTCCAGAAGATGGTCGGTTTGGGGTTTCCCGCCGCCGAGCACTCTAAGCGCGCCTGGTTGCCGCGCTCCAGCACGAGCACGCCGCCGAACGGCCGGGTCGTCACCACGGGCCCGTCTGCCGAACGGCGAGGGAACGGTCGCTTTATGGGCACGGCCGCGTACCGGCCGCCGGCGCGCCGCCTTTTCATGGCCCGCTCGGAGGGCGCCGGCCGCCGCCGCCGGCACCCACGGGAGAGGATCGTGATGACGCCGGGCGGCGGCGGCCGGCGGCGGGCGGTGTGGTAAGGCGGCGGCGGCTCCCAGAACGGTGTCACGTTTGGACGTGTGTGCACTGGAAACGTGTCATAGTGCGGTCTTGGGGAGAGCATGCCGCTGTATGATCATGTAAACCGCAGAGGACGGGGACCGATTCAGGGAAACTGGTTTAGCAAACATGGCATGAGCGCTGTGAGGCAAATACAAGCAGTAACTACACATATCCACATACTCGTATATATACGTACTAAGGAACATTTGTTGCATTTCAACGGAAGTCTGCTTCATCTGGTGTATGAAGAGCTCACTACTCATTACTCACAGAGCACGTCGAGCCGGTGGGTGAGCTCGGTGAGCGGCTCCGTGTCCAGTGAGCACGTGTAAGAAGACTGGTCGCTGGGCCGCACGCTGGCGATCCGCAGATTGTAGCCGTCCACCAGGCTGTAGCGCGTGTCGCGCGCCACAATCACCTCTCGGGCGCTGATGACGCGCCGGTCTTTCTTCCAGACCACGATGTAGGGACCTGGTGCAGAGCGGACACAGCGCGTCAGAGCCACAGCCCACACTCGACAGTCCACCGGATTGATTATTCACCTCGTTATGAGGCTCGGAAGCAGGCGAGGATCTTCAGTTTATAAGTCGTAATTTTCAGCGACGACATCGACGACTTATAAATCGCCAAACGACGCTCTATTAGGTTAATACAGGCCTAAAATGCACCAGAAGCTTTCTGGGCGCATTGCAAACGTCATAAACTTTTCGCCCGTGAGAGTGAATGACTGCTATAAAACAGCCGTAAACTTTGAAAAGTCTGCATCTCATTTCCTGGACAGCGTTTATGTTGCCATAAAGCGACAGAACGCGGTGCTCGCATTCAGCAGCAGGCATTACGCATTACGCATGTAACGGTGGTGAAAGCAGAGCACCGCACACGTCAACGATCGTGTTCAGGGGCCGCCCACTAGCAGCATTAGCAGCCGGCTCCGTGAGCATTACCAGCTTATGACGTCACACAATGACCCAGCTCTGATACGGGCGTAGTCTTGGCTGGGCTATGGGGCAAGTCGGGGGAGCGGCGTAGCCATAACAATAGATTTCCTAAAAAAAATGTTTCACAATCATCGACTGAGGAAGTGCATCTGTAAATAGTTCGGACTTTTCTCGGTGAATACCAAAACAGGAACAACTCCACCAATATCATGTGGCAAAGCTAAATGCTTAGATTAAGGACATCACTTGTAGCATGCAATGTGCTGTCTTTGGTATTGTAGTGGAGATATGAAGGCCATCGAGGTTTAAACGATGCTAGTAAAATAGAATGATGCTTCGAATTGTCGTTTCAGGAGCTTCCCGCATTCTAGTCATAGAACCTCGGTACACCTATGTAGAAGCAATGTTTAGAATGTCCCAACCATTAGCTATGTTGCTATTTCGCTCACCTTTATTCCTGATGGCGCAGGGCAGAGTGACGCTTTCTCCCTCTCTGTGTTTGATCAGCGTGGGCTCCGTGAGGAAACTGGGCTGAATCGCTCCACCGACCTCAGCCGTTGCTGGAAACGGCAGAGAGACGTGAATCGCTGCACTGTTACTAGAACAGCAGGTAAACGTGAATCGCTCCAACGACCTCAGCCGTAACTGGAAACGACAGAGAAACGTGAACCATGAGCGTACGTGATGAGCAACATGAGAGTAGCTGAGAAAAACCTGCCGTATTAGTTAGAAATCACTGGACAGACAAAGATAAAGACGAAACGACGATGAAAACTGAATGAAACATTCAAAACTGTTGACTAGCTTGCAGATCAATTGCATCTCGAATTATTGCATTTCACATTTTCTGAAAGATTAGGTACTGGGTTGAACTTGCGTATTGTGTCGAAACAAATCCACCACGTGTGTAGTGTGTACTGGCCATGATTAGGCATCTTGTGGCTGAATGTGTTGGATGTATGTAGATCCTGCTGTAGGTATGCGCTACTGCAGTTGTAAATGTTGTTTGTTTTAGCTGGAACAAATATGTAGAAGCGGTCTTAGCTTTTTATATTTAAATGAAGCTTTAAATACGTCAATCGTTTTGCATTGCTGTTTTCAGTGTTTATATATATTCATACCAGCCTGGCTGACGTTGGGAGACGAAGCGCTCGAAAACGACGGGAGCATATAACGTCAGACATTTTGACATGATAAAATCGCAATGCATTATTCGCATATGCGCTGTCAAGGTAATGAATGCTGTCAAATACTATAAGCACAACAGTCTCCACACTCATAAGCCTAAGGCAATGTACTTCGACGTTCCAGGCAATTAGTGTTTCAAGTGGCACACTTCGCGGCCTTCACTCAGAGTAGAGGTCTAAGAACGCAGTCACACGGTGGTGTCGTTTTTTCCTCCGCTGGCCACCGACGCGCATTGAAATGAGCCACTCGTGGTCTGCTAATTGCTTAGTTTGCGCGAGCTTTTTATCCCTGTTCGCGCACTCCTTATGCGGAGGGTTGGCAGAGTTCTCAGCACCTAAAATCCTCTCTTTCCGTCCACCAAGACTCACTGGCCTTCTTTATTTCGAAACGAATGGCCGCGGAAAAGCAGGCGTAATGAAAATTGGATCTGAAAGCCGAACAAGAGCGGTTTAATTACGGACTGAATGACTGCGTGTTTTGGACAAACAGCATACAAGCCAGAGAGGATGATCTCACAGAAACCCTTGCCATTATAAACAAAAGATAATGAGCCCAGCAAAATACGGAAAGGTTGCATTCTGATATCTCATCCATTAACAACGTTCACCAGTCGTGTGACCCTTAATTGTCGTGACATTACCCTAAAAAAAAAAGATTAAAAGGGTTTCAAGTGGTGGTATTAGTTTCCATGATTTTCCATAGGATGTTTAAGAACTCCAACTCTGAAACATGAACGGCAACATTCATCCGATAAGTGACGACACTGTTGGTTATATTGGTGGCAGCTCTAGCAATAAACAGACTGCTACTGTAACAAAACACCTAAGTTTTATCCAACCAATGTTAGGCGATTCGAGAAGTTAGCGATAAAGCCGAGCATTCCTTTAACGTAAATGTAAATCCTGTGTCTTTCATCTAAGGCCTTAACGTTTTCCATTTAATCTCGCCGTAAATCCCGCCGTAGCTCCCCGACAACACAACTTCCAATAAGCAAGAGTGCTGCTTTACAAGCCCTAAACTTCCAGGTATTCGGAATAAAAGATGCAATCAAAAATAGCCTTCTGCGTTCCTTCACTGCAGGATTGTGTGAGCAACATCGAAGCGGTGCCGACAACCCCTACGTCTGCACGCTGTGCTTCTCAGTCGCAAACATATCTCTCGTGCAGAGCAGCACGGGTCGACGTGGCGCGTCTCAGCCAATCCATCAATGCCAATCGGTATTGTAATATTTGCCACCGGCCGGGGCATTGTGCCGGCGCACGGACATCCCTGGTCGTGCTGGCAGAGGCGATCGATGTGGCCGCTCTCCCTGCGGCCCCGACGTCCGATAATAGAAGCAGAAACAACACGTTCAGGTGCCGGCTGGGTCAAACAAATCTCAGTCCGTCCAGCTCCTACCGCTCGGCCAGTCCATGACAATCGGTCAACACAACAAAGACAAATGCAACAATAATGATTGTACTTTTCCTTGTGTTATCCTATAAATAAAAAATAAAAACGTGCTAAGAAGGCGCTTACACGCCCCCATGCCTATCAAGATGAGCCCATCCCAGCTGAAGCACCATGGGTGCCATTATCATGGTGCGCAGTGCACAAGATACCCGCGTGCGTACAGGCTGAAGGGAAGGGTTGGTGTGCCGCAGAGCCGGTGGCATGGTGGCCATCAGCGATTATTGAGTGTTACCCTGAATAGGCCCTGAACACTATGACCGGGACCGGAGACACCTCTGGCATAATGATCGCACCGGGAACGGCCGTCTCTCGGGCCCGCCAGCACATAATCAGAGACATCGATTCTGCGCCGCCGACACTTCACGTCATCCATCGTCGCCCGTCGCTCGAGCTCGTGGCGACGGTGATGGCTGACGAAGCGCTCCAGGGCGGCCGCCAAAGCCCTCTGCACAGGAGACGAGCAGCCGCAGCCGAGACAGGGATCAACGCTCCAAAGGGCACCCACCGCGGACCATAGAGCCAACCACCGCGGATCGGAGCACAAACTCACAGAGCGCCGGATGCGAAATTGATGGACCGGTGACCGCCAGGGACATTGAGCAAAAAAAAACGAGAAACGAGAAACGCAGGGTTGTGCTTGACTCATGAGTCGAGTCAAAAATTTGACTCAACTCTGACTCAAATGAGTCAGATTTGAGTCGAGTCGGATAAATTTTTGAGCTGTTGAGTTGAGTCAGAGTTGAGTCGGACAAAAATATTAAGGCGTTGAGTTGAGTCAGAGTTGAGTCAGTAAAATAACTTTTGACATTGAGTCAAACATTTAGGAACATGAGTCAGCTGACTCAACTTTCCAGAAACAAGCTTTTCATTCCCCACCCCCGCTTCCCTGACCCTGTTGCCGGACTTTTTCACCCCCCTCCCCCCGCTCAAGAGCTTTTTTATCAGAGTCAATTTTGAGTCAACTCACTTGACTCAACAAAAAATTGAGTCAAGTTTGAGTCGACTCATATTTTCATTGAGCCGCTTGAGTCATGAGTCGAGTCAAGGGAAAAAATCAGCTCCTTGTTTGAGTCAGAGTTGAGTCAGGGCTTTCTGAGGTTGAATGATGAGTCGAGTCGGCAAATTTTTTTGAGTCGAGCACAACCCTGGAGAAACGGACACACCCACCCGGTGAAACACGGTCATCGTTGACTGAGCACATCTAGCTGCGAGATCGGAAAATACAGTCGGGGTGTTTGCCACAAGCCACAGATTGCAGAATACCTAACAAAAGAAAAAAAGAAAATTAACGACGGTACCTTCGGCGGGCGCAGCCCCGACACATACTCTGTTGTGCGTCCTACACCCACTGTGTGGCACAAAAAGACGTGTGCACTGTGCAATGTGCATGCCTCGACCGCTCAAAGAGACTTGCTCGCAGTAAAATTCACCGTTAGCATAAACGCTCCATTGAGACGCGACCGATGCCTCCCCAGTACCGACCGGAACTGTCCGCGAGATGGTCAATCCGAGGCTGCAGTGGTCGCCGCCGACCATCTTCAGACGCCTTCCCCTCCCTCCCCTCGACGGTGCCGACACACAAAAACGTCACTGGACACTGGCGAAAATCGCTGAGAGAGGACGTAATACTGCCGGTGGCCGGAGGTCTGAGACTTCGTCCGCTACTGGCCAGTTGAGCGCCAACTAAGCGTCAGACACTGCAGCTTCATGGAGGTTACAGAAAAGCGGTGAGGTTAGACGTCAGAGAGTATCGGCAAGCGGGAAAGATCAGAATCGATATTCCACGAAAAGAAAATAGTGGATGAGTTATTAAATGCGTTCAGTGTTCCCGAACAATATCAAACAAGTAAGCAACAAAGTGAGGTAGTTTTCACTTTTCACAAAATATCCTCTACAACCTGAGAAGCATCATAAAGCATACAGGAAGCAGCGCATCAGGCCAAAGTAGCTAGTTAATCTAGCAGAGAAGAGGAGCTAAATTTCTCACACCGTTGCCGCGAGTTGAGCGACTGGAGGCATCGCTTCTCCATCAGGCATCATACATAATTAAGCTGACGGCGGGTCATTTGTAAGACGTTGCTCTCTACGGTCTGAAATTGGCTGTAGCGCCAGACGAGGTCTGTGTGAAACACCTCTGCTGTTCCTTGGACATGACCTTGGCTGAAAACAATTGGGATAGGCTGAACTTTTTACCTAACGAATATGAAAAATACAAAGCGAGGCAGCTGCCACAGTTCACTGCTGCATTTGTCGTAGCTTTATTACGGAAGAAATAAGAAATATGAATAGAATATATACATAGGCGGCGGAACGGAGAGGGCACCGGGGCAGCACCGTTTCCCCCTTTGATTTTGGCATTTTAACATTAGCCCTATGGGCGTTGCATGCAAAGAATGGGACCAAAAGTCGGCATTGCCCCCCCCCCCCCCCCCTTAATTGAAGGTATTCCGGCGCTACTGAATATAAATGTATAGAACATAAAACTGTCATTTACCGGCAAAAGATCAATAATCGGTTTCGGTGTAATCGCAGGGAATGCCCTTCAAAATTGACATTAAAAGTTAAGTCCGGCGGGTCGGCTGTAGCGGGTGAAAACGGTTACACGAACACCATGCTTGGTGGATCTTGTGCGCTTTGGTTCGTTATAATTGTTACTGAACTCTGGCAGTGGCAAGTTCTCATATGTGAGGGCTATCCACCGTCAATGTCAAAACCGTCAAACTTTCTGCAAAGAGATGGGAACCAGCAGATGGGAACCACTCACTGTTCTGATCTAGAAGGGTGCGCGACTTGAGTAGAGGTGGAGACAGACCAAATTTTTGGCAAGATGTTCGTGATTTTTCGTTCGTTCGTAACTCGTGCCGACTTCAAGAGAACCGTAAAGCCCAATAACAAGTTCACGAGGAGAGGGTTTCCTGAC